GGTCCGTCGAGACAGCCCCGTGCACAACGAAGATCGCAAGCAGTGTATTAAGGATCTCAGAGCAACGCTGGCACAGAGGAGGAAGTGTAAGGAGGAGCACGATAAGCACGACCTTGGATGAGTATGCGCATCTGGCAGATCAGTAAACACCCGAGACGCATTGCTACGGAGTGCTTGGCGTCCGGTCGCGCTCGAAGATGCGCCGGAATCAAGACTGCCCCCGATGGGCAGAGCGGGTGCTGGGTGCAGAATGAGGCCGGGCTCGTCGTGGGTAAGAGGGGGGGGCCCGGCGCAGACGATTCGCGGTTGTTCCGCGAATTGCGGCATCAGCTAGGGCATTGGCGCGCAGACTGGAGCAGGCTCCAGAACTGGAAGGTTGCAGCGCCATCCCTTACACCATAGGGGAGACGAGGAGGGATCTGATGAAGGAAAGACGGGGAAGTTGGAGGACAGCGAGGCCGCCTTTCTCGCCGCTGAGGAGTGGAGGGGGTTGTCGTTCAAGGTTTGGGAACTTCAGTTTTGGAGAGCGTGGCCAGAGCGGGGCGCGTCCCCCGGAGTGCCTGCGAATCGTTTTCTGGCCTCGCAAAGTGAGCGAGCGTCGACCGCAGGTCGCGTATGGTATTGGGTTTCTGCAAGACTTGCCCAGGATATTTCGTGCTCGAGGCGCGCTGCAGGCGCTCTTTGGGCCGCGTCGGCGCGCCCAGCGGCTTCCTGTCCATTCGCGTTGCGCCCGGGCCGTTCGCGCCTCCGAACCCAGCGGGAAGCTGGAGTGCGACGGGGAGAGGCTCGCAATGATGATGCGCGCCCTCGGCCGGACCTGCAACGCAGAATGGTTGCGGGGGGGTGCATGGGGGGGGGGGGGGGCGCGGGCGTTCAGCTCGCGTCGCCATATCGCCTGCCGGCAGGAGGTGTGTCGCATTTATTCAGGTGCCACAGCGCCGCCAGCGCATTTTGCAATCTCCATGGGGGCAAGGCGCCCGAGGCCGCCGAAAGATGCCGCGAGCCCCGGGACTTCCAGTTCTCCAGGACGCGTAGAGAATAATCACTGGGGCGTCTTTCCAGGAGACGCGGGAGCCGTTCGCCGCTTCAATCGGACCAACCTTCCCCCCTGCGCCGAGTTCGCCGACGCCGGCGTCGCCAAGCAGCGGCGCGTCGTTAGGGGCGGCCCCGCCATGGGGTGCCGAAGAAAATGCGCAGGTGGGGCTCGCGGGGCTCGTTGACGACATCGGCAGCAAGGTGCTGGAGGCGGCGGGGGGGGGCCATGCTCGAACAGATCGAACGAGGGAGGGGGCGCTCGGAAATGCCGCCGTCGATCGGTGCCTCGCGGAGATCGGAGCGAGCCGACGCTTGGGGAAGGAGGGGGGCGCGCGTTGCCCAGCAGGCCGGGGATCCTGCAAGGCCGCGTGGGCTCTCGAGGCACGAAGCGGCTCTCGAAGGTAAAGATGTACATCGCGTTCGGTACATGGGCGGGCATCAGGCGCCCGCGTGCTCGCCGCTGCCAGAGTTGCTGAAGCGGCTTGCCACCGTCGGGCCCAGCTTCCGCAGCGCGGGGGGTTCTGGCGCAGCAGCGCGCCCATTGGGGTAAAGAGATATGCAGCGAGAGGATTGTCGTTGAATTCTGCTTTTAGCAGGGCTCGAGGTGCGCGCGCGTGGACGGGGGCCTCTGCCGGGGCGGGGCCTCCAGCCGCATCAGTCTCGCAGGTTGGGGAACTGTCGAGCCATGCTACAGGGCACAGCGCACATGAATGAGCATGGCACGCGCCAGTGCACAGGTCATGATGTGGTCTAGAATGGGCAGTCTACGCCTCGAACTACGACTGCGATTGTTAACGTGGTTACAGGTGATAGTGGCCAACGAAGATGTGTGCGCGCAGTTTCCTGCTGCATTTGGCGGCATGGTCTGCGATGGCGAGGTCGCGAGCGAAATGGGGGCAATCGGCAGTGCGAATCCTTGGGCCGGACAGGCGCAGCAATAAATTATATCATTGCACGCGCTAGAAGATGGACAAGCAACGCTCGCAAACCAGATTATCCATAGTATGCTATTTGAGGATGGCCCCGCGGACTTCGACAAAAGAGACGTCGCCGAGCTTGGGTCCATCTTCTACACCGCGGAAGAGAGGGCGACGAGAACAGAGGGGTAATAATTGAATGAACAGCGCGGCTCGGGCCTCAAATTGGTCAAGAGTCCTGGGGTGGCGGCGCAGTCTGCGGCGCGCGTTGGGCCGGCAGGCAGCAGCTAATGGCGCGCGTGGCTAATTCCGAAGGCGGACCCCGCGGATGACTCCACGCTGGGCGGGTGCTCGCGATGGCGCACGCGCGCCCTTGCTGCAAGAGTGCGTTCAGAGATTGCGCTGGCGATAGTGCCGCCTGCTGCGTCGAAGCAAGCATGAGACGCAACTAGCGCCCCGAAAAACGAGGGCGGTACGAAGCCAACATCGTGCCACCCAAGGGCCTGGAGCGCCCCGCATGCTTCGTATATCTTTTGTCTGTAGCCAGTTATCTCGAGCGCGCTGGGGCGCGCGCGCGACAGCATCTCGCTTCGTGTTCGCGAAGGTTAGAGTGGGGGGGGGGTCGGCTCGCAGGCGGCGCCAATGCAGTGGGCGAAGCCCGCGGCGCCGCGGCGCCTGAGCGCGCCAGCTCGAGGCCAAAACGCGCGCGGTCGAGCAAATGGGCTTCGACAGCGCGCTGCTGGATCGCGACCGCCCGTGCTTCGCGGAGAGCAGCGCCGCGTTCCAGAGGTCCCCCGCCCGCGAGAAAGCAGCCCAGAGGGCGACCGCGGCGCGCCGGCGAGCGAGGGCACTTTCGCCTCTCTCGACGGTTTGAACAATTATGCCTCGCAGCGTCTGGCAGCTTGCGGGGTGCGCGTCGCCCGCATGATGAGTGTGATCGAGCGCGGAGGGCCGACCATAGCTCAGGCGCGGCGTCTCTGCGGCGCCGAGCCCCGCGTTCGACCAACTGGGCAAGGCCGAGAAGCCTCGCCTTATTTTCAACCTCAAAGGCCAGATCCCCGCGGCGACGCAAGCGGCCGACCGCGAGAAGCCGACGGCGACGATCGAGGGCGGGGGCGTCGCGATCAAGCAGGTTAGCCCGACAGAGATGCCGACCGCGATCCTCGACGTGCCAGGCTACCAGGCGGACGTCGACTTCCTGCTCGCCGAGCAGATGCGTGCCGCAGGCGGCCGCCGCCTGGCCGACGAGGTGCCGCGCGGAAACGCGGCCAGGAAGATCGGCGTCGACAAGGGCAAGGGCAGGATCCGGGGCGAGTGAGCGCCGCCACCTTTCATCGAGTCCGACCGCTTCCTGGGCTTGAGAGCGCGGCCAGCGCCGCGCCGAGAAGAGCCCCGCCCCCTCCTCGTCCTCTTCGCCTGTCCGGGCCCGCCTTGGCAAAGAGCTGCGCCCGAGCGCCCCCGACCCCGCGGGGCCCGACCCCTTCGAAGCTGACGAGGAGGCTGGCACAGATATGCATGCGCCGTAGTGACTGGGCCCGGCGGGCCTTGACGCCCTAATCGCCGGTACGCAGCATGATATGTGCTGCGGACCCACGAAATGCGCGGTTTTCTGCCCAAAGCGGCCCTTCAGGATTCAACCGATTTTGGCGTAAATCTTGTTACCGCATTTCGTGCATGCTTTAGTGTGTTGCACGACGCTTCCGCGCGCGCTTGGCAACGGCAGCGCAGTCAGGTCGTCAGAAGCTTTTTCCTGCAGTTAACTCCTATTGTGTGGGCGCCTCACACATGGTGTCCCCCGTGCGGGCGCCAACAGGGGCGTATCCGCCCGTGCCCCTTTCTATCGGCACGGCAGGTTCCAGAGCGAAGGAGCGAGAGAGGGGATGAGACGATGGTCAACACCCCAACCCAGAGCAGATAAGACCAGGCATGGAGCTTTGCTTGAATGGGATCGAGACGAGACGATTCCTCTTCTTCCTCGTTTCACTGGTGGTGCCACTGCTTGTATGTAAAATTTGCTAGTGAGGCGCATCTGCCCTGATGCTGGGACCCTGGTTTGCTTCACCAGGTTGAATTTCGAGGAGGGGCAGGATGAGTATCCTCCCTACCCCCTCCATGCCGCTTCTCTTCCTCATCCTTCCCCTTCCCCTCCTCCTTCTCCTTTTCCTCCTCTTCCTTCTCCTCCTCATCCGCTTTTCACTGGTGGTGCAACAGTGTATGCCTAGACTTGGCCAATGGGGCGCAGGCGTCCCAACGCTGGGACCCTGGTTGGCCTCGCTAGGTTCGATTTCGAGGGGGATGGTTCTCCAAACTGCCCCCTCCATTCCGCTCTTCATCTTCCTTGTTGCATTTCCTCTATTCCTGCTTCTTCTCTTCCTTCTCGTCCTCCTCCTCCTCGTCCTCGTCCTGCTCTTCTTCTGCCTCCTCCTCTCACTGGTGCTGCTAGTGCTGCTGCTTGGCCAACGAACCGCATATGCACCTGCGCGGGGACCCTGGTTGGCTTCGCCAGGTGCGATTTCGAGAAGGGGTAATTTTTAGGAGGAGGAGGAGGAGGAGGAGGAGGAGGAGGAGGAGGAGGAGGAGGAGGAGGAGGAGGAGGAGGAGAAGGAAAAGGAGGAGAAGGAGGAAAAGGAGGAGGATGAGGAACATGAGGAGGAGGAGGAGCAGGCGCAGTTTCTCAGAAGGAGAAGGGATCAGAGGAGTAGGGAACAGTTCCTTAGAAGGAGAGCAGTTCCTTAGAAGAAGAGAGCTGCCTCGGGGTGCGGCAGGGAGCAGTTCCTTAGAAGGAGAAGGGATGGAGGGGGAGGGGGCGCGGAGAAGGAGGAAGAGGACAAGGAGGAGGGGGAGGGGAAGGGGCAGGAGGAGGTGGAGGGGGAGGGAGAGAGGAAGGAGGAGGGGGGAGGAGGAGGAGGAGGAGGAGGAGGAGGAGGGGAGGAGGAGGAGGAGGAGGAGGAGGAGGAGGAGGAGGAGGAGGAGGAGGACAAGGCACCTGGCGAAGGAGGAGGAAGAAGAAAACGAGGAGGAGGAACGTCAAGTTGGCGTCCTCCCGAGGCCGCCGCGGGGGCTGCGCTCACCCCGATGTCAACGTACCGCTCCTCCCTCGTGCGTTCGGTGTTCGACAGGCTCGATTCCGACAGGGACGGCAGGCTCAACGAGAAGGATATCGGCCGTCTCCCGCGGGCGGGGGACCCACAACATGTCCATATTTTGCGCAGGGCGTCCGAACATACAAGGGGGATGTGCGCAGGGGGAGGGGGGGGAGGCAGGGAGGGGGGGGGGCCCGAGGAGAGGGGCGGGATGGGGAAATCTTTCCCATTCACGCAAGTACTCATGCGCGCGGGTGCGTGGCTCTGGAGGAACAGGTTGCCCACCAGTTTATATAGACAACGTCGTATGCGAGCTGTCGTCACGCGAGAATTTGGTGCACCTGAGGAGTGAAACAAGCCAAGGGGAAGGGGGCATCGTTCAAGCGAAAGCACGGACCAGCTCAAGGTAGCCGCCAGCTGGCCGCAGTCGTCCGAATGCCAGTCGAGTTCCCCAGCGAGTGTTTGCACCTCTGGGCTTCTTTCTGGGGCTTCCGCGTCATTGGCTGGGCGAGGAAGAGGAGGAGGAGGAGGAGGAGGAGGAGGAGGAGGAGGAGGAGGAGGAGGAGGAGGAGGAGGAGGAGGAGGAGGAGGAGGAGTGTCGGGGTTTCGCCCCGTGCTCGCCTCGTGGGCGCCACGTGCGCCGGGTGAGCGGGGCGGGGTCTCGCCACGTGCTCGCCTCGTGGGCGCCTCTGCCCTGGCCAGTTGCGTCGGGGGCTCGCACGGTGCTCGCGGGTGCCCCGTGGGTCTGCACCGCAGATCTCACGCAGCTTGCACCACATCAGTGCCACCCCAATGCGCACACCAATTGGCTTGCACCACGTGGCTCATTCACACAACTTACGCCACACAGCTTGCACCACATGCCCTGCACCACACAGCTCTCACCACATAGGTTGTACCTCGCACTGTGTAGCCTGCACCACATTGTTTGCACCACACAGCTTGTACCACCTAGCGTATACCACACAGCTGGCATCACTCATTTTACACCACATGGCTTGCACCACTTCGCTTGTACCACTGAGCTTACACTGTGCTACACACTTGCACCACATAGCTCGCACCGCATAGCAGCTTTCACAACACAGCTTGCACCACGTACCTTGCACCACACAGCTCGCACCACACAGCTTACGCCACAGCTTGCACATCTAGAGTTCAATCATTTGCTGTGCGGGGTCCGTGCTGGCAAGTATTGTGTTTAGCCTGACGCATGTCAGGTGGAGCCGACCGCTGCCTGTTCAAATTGGCGGAGCTTGGCTGAGCGTGATCGAATACTCTTCGCTCAGTTCAGGCGGCCGCTGTGCTGCGGAGGCGAGCTGAATCACAACACCGTCAAGCTCAGCTTGGTTTAGCCCTGCCTGCATTTGCGCGATTAATGTCGGCACGAAGAGCAAGATCGTTGGAATATGCTGGAGTTCTCTTTGAATCCTCTTGGAGTTCCCCTCGGGGTTCTGTTGTAATCTTTTTGAGACACTTCGGTCCCTCTTGGGACCATGCTGTGGGCACTTGATCAAAAAGAAGGAACAGATCTAGTTAGCGCCCCCCTTCGGGAAACATCGAGGTTTCCGATTGGGGACCTCTTTAGGCCTTCTTGAAGCTCCGTAAGGCCTCTTGGATGACTCTTGGGGTGCTATTGGCGCCTTCAGGGCTCCCCTGCGAAACTATTGGGTCCTTCTAAGGACGGTCTGGGTTTGGGGGGTCGTAAGGCCTCCCAGGCCCTCTTCAAAAGGTGCCACGGCGATCATCATTGAAACACATTCGATTTGATGTCTTTTCTCGGATGCTCTCTTGGGGGAGCTCCGCATTCACCAAAGAGCCATCCTGTTGGTTTGGCCTCTTCGGGTCAGGCTCGAGACCATCTAGAACCATCTTGCCCCATCTTGGCGGCAATCTTGGGCAATCTGGGAACATCTTGAAGTCGTCGATGGCTATCTTGGAAAGCAGGCGCGCGTCGGTCGGCGCAAGATGTACAAACAACTTCAATATTGACTCTCTGGGGAAGGAGTAAAGGCGAATCCCTCCCAGAGGAATACACATGTGTGGTTACCTGCCATGGTGGAGCTAAGACTTCCTGCCATGGTGGAGCTTTTCTGTGTCTGGAGTTCTTTGTAGTCCCAGTCCCAGTCACAGCTTGTCCAGACGCCGTGACCACTCGTGCACGGGTCAGAACGTCTGGGTCCTACGTGTTACCTCAGGACCGATGGGTGCGCCACTGCTGCAGCTTTGAGGCTGTCATCCGGTGGGGGCGAAACAGGATGAGGAGGAGAGGAACAGGTTGCTGTTCCCTGTGCTTGGCCCCGCCGTCGCGTGAGGGCCCGCCACCGACAGGCCAGTCTGGGCCGTCGCTGCCGCAGGCCAGGACTCCACCACAGACCAGGATCGACGGCGCCGTGGGCCTTCCCACGTGCGACGCGCACCGTTTCCGCGCAGTGAGCGGAGTTCGCGGCGGCTCGCACCTCGCACCTCTTGGGGGCCTCTTGGACCTTCTTGGGGCCCTCCTGGGCCGTCTTGAGGCCATCTGATGCCATTTTGGAACGCTCTTAGGCGGTCCTGGGCTTTTTTGGGGCGCGTTGGGCTGTCTTGAAGCTCTCTTGGACCCCTCTTGGGCCGTCCTGGGCGCTTCTTGGGGCGTCTTGGGCGCCTCTTGTGCCGTCTGAGGGGGGGGGCAGGCCATTGCATCCCGGTAGAGCCCCCTAGTACCCCCCTCCCCTCGACCCCTCCCTAGAGGGCTTCGCCCCACAAGGACGTCATCACTCGTACCTCGCACACTTCCAAGACGGCCTCAGGGAGGCCCAGGAAGACCCGTAGACGGCTCAAGAGCGCTCAAAGACGGCCCAAGGTGGTCGCAAGACGGCCAAAGCGGCCCTCCAGACGCTCCAAGAGGCCCGCAAGAGGACCCCCAAGAGGCAAGCATCGTCCCGTTCCTTAGGGAGCACGTGCATTTTTGGCACACTCGTTTTTTCGTCTTCATGCCGTCTAAGAGTGCCCAAGAGGCCGGCAAGACCGTATACATCAGCCCCTATATGTGCATCGTTGAGCCTCAGATGCGAATGACCGAGCACCTCCACATGCTGATACAAATTTTCGGTTTCACGCACCCGCGAGCATTTTTTCAGTCGGGGGAATTCACCTCGATGTTCTGCAGGATGTGGAGTTACTTCGCCAGTGTGTCTCTCACCGCGGCGCAGGTTGTGGCCGCCCACCTGTCGTCGCCAGCCGCCCTGTCGACGGCCGCGTCTGCCCACCTGATCCCGGTGGCTCCCCTGCAGGCGAAGCTCATCGGAGCGAGTTCTGCCGACGCAAGCTACGCGGCCCAAACGCAGGCGCGCGGCGCAGACCCCCAGGATGAGTATGGGACAGCGCGCGAAGCAGACAAGTTCCGTGCGTGCATGCCGAATATCTACAGAGACAGGCAGCTATCAGCGTCGGCGTGGGCTGGCAGCGTGATCGGGGACCGCAGCAAGGAGGTGACTAAGTCCATGAATCATGCTTGCCAGCCGTCGACTTGCTACAGCGGGCGAGGGACAAGTATGCGGTTTTGCCGGATGTATTGTTGGCATTGGACGCAAGAGCAGAACAAACGTATAAAGACAGGGGTGTGCAGACGAGTCCACTGTCTTCGACTGCAGCCACCCTGGGATCACTTGGACCTGCCACTGGAGCAACGACATCCACCACAGGCCGGGATGTTTTCGTTTGAACGTGCCCACCCCTTCCACGGAAAAACCGACCCTGCTATCGTGGCTGGCCCACGGTGCATCCGCGATCTGAGCGTCTTTTTTCGTTCCTCCGCTCTTCCAGATAACAGACAGGCAGTGCTCGACGACGGGCAGACCGTTGATATGCAGGGCACCATCGAAGACAGCGCGGCGGAAACCGTGCAGATGGTTTTGGACCACGAGTTCCACTCGGTGGACTACTCCACCAAGGCGACGCCCCGCGCCGACAACCCCCCGCACTCCTTACGCGACAGCAAAGGACGTCAGGACCGCTCCGCGGCCGAACGGCCCGGCGACGGCCCAGGCGATGACGGCGCCGAGCGCGCGCGCCGTTTGTTGCGAAGCTTGGTGGGGGCGACGCGGCGCATATTGCAGATGCGCTTCCTTCTATCTGTGCTTACTTGCGCGGCCGACCGAATCAATGTTGCACGAAGCTTTGCCGGTCGGTAAATTCCAGCACCAGGTCAAGGAGCTCATTGATGCGCGGTGGGCGGGCAACGCGCACTATCCGCTTGACTCGGCAGAAGAAGACGCACTGGGGCATTGGCCAGACGCTCGCGTCCATGCAGCACTTCCCGACGCACTTCTTCTGCGCGTGTGCGACTGTCCAAACCGGCCAACCTTGAGCTGATGTGTTCGAGGAGGCGCAGTGGAAAACAGAAGCCCGACGCGCTGGACGGACTGCCTCTGGCCAGCGATGACGACGCGCGCGGCGACGACGCTCAATCTCCCGCGCAGTCCGACGATCCTTTTTTCCGCGATTCCAAGCGGCCCTACCAGGATGACGACTAGCTTCCGGACGAACCCGACGCTCGACGCGCCGAAGTGCATCCAGGTTGCCGCGAGACGCTTCGAAATTTATGCTGAACCGATCGATTTCCCGAGCGCGCCTGCTGCGACAGTCGGGGGCGGTGCCGGAGTAAGGCATCCCCGCCACTGCGCCTCCAAGAACCAGCTTGCGCATTCGAAGCCGACGTCGGCAGTCGGCTTCGAGGCGCCCCTCTTCGACATCACTAGCGGCGAGGCCGTTTGCAAACAGCAGATGCAGGCGACGTGTTGCCAGAAGTCCGACGCCTTGGCGCTGTTGCCTGCCCCCGGCCAGCGACGCTGATCACGGCGATCCTGCGGATGGGGGCCGGGCGCCAGCGCCGGGGGCCCACCTCCGCGCAGTCCATGCGCCGGCGCCGCGGCAACTGATCCGCGCAGCAATCGACGACCTCGCGGCGAAGACTGGCGGCCGCGCGCCAATCGAACGCACGGCCGCGGTCGGCGTCGCAGCTCGCTTGCAGCAGGCCGGCGCGCGAAACGCCGAGGGGGCGCCCTTCCTGGGCGCGCGGCAAGGCCGCGCTTTCCTGCGTTGGGCTGGGTCGCGCGCGTCGGCCCCGCGGGTGCGGAGCGACGACCTAGCAGCTGAAACTCGGCCCTGGGCCAAGTGTCCCAAGCCGCTTCGGCGCGCGCTCGTCGGGGGAGCCGGTGCCGGTAGGGCGACTGCATTTTTCGCCGCGGATGCTCTGCCGCATTTCTTCCTCGGGCCAGATGGCGCGAAGGCGGTGCCGACCCGCGCGGCCGCGAGGCTTCTCCGCGGCGATGCCGCCCATGCGATGTACAAACTGCGAATGGGATCTTTATGGCCCAATGGGGGTTGCCTCATCGAAGCCCGCGCCCAAAGGGGCGCGCAAGCGATGGCAGCGCTCGAGAACGCACGCCATCGACGCAATCTCCGCCAACCCGCCCCAGATCCTCCACCAGATGGACGCGCTTGGGCCCAGCGGCTGCGCGGGGCCACGGGCGGCGCGGCAGTTAAAATCTCAGGGGGGTTCATGCGATTGCCACTTGTGAAGGCAGCGTCTCTGACGCGACCACGACGTGGGCGACGCCGCCGAGAAGGCCAATCGGGGGCGGGGGCAGCTTGAATATCGAGCAGGCTACGTTCTGTCGGGGGGCTCGCTCGCGCCAGCTATCGTCTTGGAGCTCAACGTGCGCGCGCGAGACCCCCGCCCCGAACCTCGCGCGAGGCACGCGGGGCCTTGGGGTTGGCGATGCGGCGTGGAATGCGCTGATGCCCCGCTCGTTGGGGGCGCGGGTGGGCGACGGTGGCGCGGTGCGCCTGTCCGTGGGCCCTCCGGCTGATGGCGAAAGCTTAGTGGCGCCGCCGTTCTCGACGAACCCTGCGGATGACATCGTTCACCGTCGCCAGCCGCGTCGGCCAGTGCTTCGCGACGCCCCGAACGACAGCTTGCGACTCGGCCGCAGACCGTGCATCAGCGCTGCATGCGACGAGCCGATACTGACGGCGGGGGCGCAGGTAACGGCAGACCTCGCCGCGGCCTTCCCGCGCCAGACCAGTTTGCGAAACTCCATCAAACAAGCAATCGAGCATGTTGCCGCTGCGCAGGGGCATGCGCTCATTACTGCGCCCAAAATGTGCGCCCGCCTATTCTTGATGAGCGGGTGCTTGCGCGCCTCAGAAGACGCGCGGTAGCCGGCCGCCCCCGCCAGGCCAAGCGGCCCACGCGCCGCGCGCTCCACAGGCGCGGGGAACATGCCATTGCGCGCGTCAGGTTCGCGCAGATTTGCTCGAATAGACAGACAGAAGAGCTGCGGGCGTCTGCGCGCCCTGAGCCCGCCCGCGCGCGCGCTGGCGGATTCTGCTGGGCGCGGCAGAGGAAGCGCCGCGCGCCGCGCGCGCAGGAGGCCCTCCCTCGCCATGCCGGACTACTCGCCACTGCGGGCCGCGGGCGCTGAGTGGACATTGCCCGACGATCGAAAGCCCGCGGGAGTATGCAGACGTTTCGTAACATATTAGTCAAGCGGGCCACTGGAACGCGGCCCCCCCCCCCGCGCCCCCCAAGTTGTTTCTGCGTCTCTCCGGGCTTATTTCTTCTGCCGCGAGACGCCGGCTGCGGGGCCTTTACCGTCGCGGAGGAGGGCGAAACCCACATTCGCATGACGCGATTCAAACTTGCCCTTGCGGACGCGCGCGTCGCGCGCGCAGCTCGGGCCGAAGGTCTCGACGCGGCGGCGATTGACTTGGCGCGGCCGCCCCGCGTGCAACGGGAAGCGCGTTGGCTTGCGATCTACGTTGTGCTCATTCGAGGGATTTCTTTGGATGGGCCCTGGCCGTGGCGCAGTTAAAGAGGCGGCTCTCACCGCGGACTTGGGGCGCCATTTCCCAGACGTTCTCCTCCAAGGACACTGGGGCAACGGAGTGCAATGAGCGACCCCGGCGGCGGCAAGGCCAGGGCCCCCGCCACCGAAAGTGAATCTGACGAGGCGGCGGGGCACCCGCGCCGGCGAGGTCTCACTCCGCAGTCGACGATCGCAACCCCCGCGGCGAAACGACTCAGGCGCAGGGCGAACCCACGCGGCGCCGAAGCGCTGGCAAGGACCACGCCGTCCTTGCGCAATGCCGACAACGACTTGGCCGCGCGGCCAGCGCCCGCCTGCGCGCCCGCCAATGCCACGACCAGACGCGCGCCGATTGACGCTTCTCCTAGAACCCCCTGCGCCACAACACCGCCGCAACAGCCAGCGCGCCACTCTGGGAAACCACTTACTGCTCTCAGCGCCTAACAGCAATGCGTGCAGCTTTTCTGGCATCCTCGCCCGCGTGGTGCGCGGGGGGGGCCGCCAGCGCGGCGCGCGCGGCTGCGCGTTCCCTTCAGCTTGTTTGGGGGAGGTAAGATCGCGGCGGCGCGGTGGCTCCGCGAGATTTCCGCGCGTGTCTTCCAGCGCTGGGGGCC